ATGACAAACAACCACCTGCTGAGATTTCAACTACAAGACTATCTAAATTAGGTGCATTGAATATTACCATTATAGAGAGATCTGATAATTAGTGAAAATTTTGATGTGGATGACACAAGGAACACACTATGGCACCCAGTCAGAGGTGGTTATGAAAAATAAATACAAATCTGATAAAACATATTTAGGGCCTTGAATTAAATATTCCCAACAGTGACTATACATAAATGCCACCATGCAAAAGTTCTTTTGTTTCTCATTAAAAAAAAAAGAGGTGGCTCTTAACATTTGTTATATCTTAATAGTAGTCAATAAAATATAAACAGGCTCCTAAAAGGTAAAAACTGTAAATGAAAATACAATTTTGGTAATTTTCAGGACTTTTTTTCACAATATAATCATTATCATTTCTATTTCAAACTGCTTGTACTCTGGTGATACATTTACAAAGAGACCAGTTTCATTTTAAAAAATCATCGGGTGAAAAAATAACAAATGCAAACATATCTATTCTGTAATACTGGTACTGTTCATAAAACAACTTCCAACTTATGTCTAGATGGAAAAGTATGTTGGAAAGCAGTGAAGGAGCAAATCATAAGTGAAACTGATCATGCCAAAATTGCATAGACCTCAAATAGTCAAGAATTAGAAAAAAAACCTAACCTCAACAAACAAAAAAAATAACATAAGAAATTATATGTTACCCATAGTTTCTAGTTCCCCTCCTCCCCCTGGCCACTAAGGATGAGTAGATTTTACATGTATAATATATATAATTCAATAAAGAAAAAAATTGTAGAAACTAAGATTTTCCTGCAGGAAAATTCTGAGAAAAAATCTTATAATTTCACTATACACTCTGAATACAGTTAATTCATACACTATCCTTGTTATATGAAGTGCTTCTACTCCATGCAAGTCTGTGATCCTGGAGCAATGATAATGCCATGTTCTAGACAGGCCTATAACAAGGAAGTTTTGGTTTCCCAAGTACCATACGCTATGGCTGCCTAACATAGCAGCAAGGTGTTTAATCATACTGGTGAAAGTAAATACACCATTCTCCTGCATCTTGTAGAGTTGAAACAGCAGTTATACCAGTGCATGTAAATGTGTAGAGCAGGCCAAGCTGCAGAAACTCTGACATTGATAAATGTTCATTTTTTACTGCAACCCAACACATATCAAGGGTAGGAGTCCTGAATCTGAATGTCAAAACAGGTTTCCTACTACTCTCTTGAGGGATTATCTAGTTGAATTGAAAGGTCCACATAGGCAAGTAGGAAGCATCTATGATGCCCAGGCATTGTGGTACAGTGATGAAGTACTTGAACCTGATAATGTCAGTGATATAAACCAAGCAGCCTGACAGACCTAAATCTCATCCATGGACCAGGAGTCAAAAGAATGCTTGGTACTACAATGATGCAATGCAAAGGACAGTGTGCAGTGAGCCTTTTGTCTCTGCATAGCATGTACATTATATCATGTCAAGAATGGCCATAATGCTAGGAATAAGTATAATGCCTCTATTACTTCAGTCTGTTCACAGTTTATAGCCCTTCTATCATGTAGACTTTGCATCATGGTGGCTGGATAATTCTAAGGAAATCTGAACCAATGAAACAGCACTATGAACCCATCATTTCATACATGTCTGTATCAAAAAGCCACATACCATGACTTTATCAGTGCATATATGGCAGAAAAACATGCATTCAGCTCATGTCACCATGCCTTCTAGCCTTTTCACCAGTGCCAATGCACTAGGTTAAGAGAGATTGGCAGAGGGGATTAGATTGGTTTGACACCACACATGTGTTTGATGACCACCATGTGAACAACATGACCTCCAAGCAGAGGCAGATAGGTTGCCTCTAATGTACTCTGCATAGGCAGGCAATAGTGGTGGATAAGCATAATTGTGGCACTTATAAAAACTAATATCTCTAAACCTGGTAATTCAGATTCCATCTTCTTTCAGGAAGAATTAAGATCAA